GACGTAAACCGCGTTCACTGAACAAACCAATGCCGCACAAGCGCGGCGGCGGATTTTTGCATGCCGCCTGAGCCCGCAAGGACCTCTTCAAGCCCCGCGCATCCACACCAGCGGGGAGCATCAAGTGGAACAAAGGATTGCGTTGCAGTTATCTTGGGAGAGGGGGGGGACGCCGGAGAGTAAACAGGGGACGAGGAGAACGCGGAAGAAGAGAGGATGTAAGGAGAATGTGGAGAAAGAAAGGGAGGAGGAGCAGGAGGACGAGGAGGGGGAGGAGGAGAGGAGGACGAGGAGGGGGAGGAGGGGGAGGATGATTATGATGATGGACGACAATGGGAGGACGATGATGGAGGCCGATGAGGGGGAGGACGACAATGGGAGGACGATGATGAAAGGACGAGGGGGGGAGAGGGAGGACGAGGAAGAAGAGGAGGAGGAGGAGGAGGAGGACGAGGTGGAGGAGGAGGATGACGATGACGATGAGGACGAGGACGAGGAAGAGGAGGAGGAGGAGGAGGAGAAGGAGGAGGAGGGGAGGGGAGCGCCATCGACAGGGAAGGTGGGGGCCACGAGGTCCGCCGGCTCGACGACGCCCGCGTCGCCCGCGCCCGCCCCCTCACTCTTATCCGCAATTGCGGGGTGCTACGTACATACATACATACATACATACATACATACATACATACATACAACCATACATACATACATACATACATACATACATATATGCATACATACATACATACATACATGCATGCATGCATGCATACATACATACATACAAGCATGCATACATACATACATACATACAAACATATACACATACACACATGCCTACATACATACATACATGCATACAGACATACATACATACATACATACACACATTCATACATACATACATGCATACACACACATTCATACATACATACATACATACATACATACATGCATGCGTACGTATGTACATACATACATACATACATGCATGCATACATACATACATACATACATACACACGCACACATACATACATACATACATACATACAGACAGACAGACAGACAGGCAGACAGACAGACAGACAGACAGGCATACATACATGCATACATCAATACATACACACACGCACACGCACACACGCGCACACACGCACACACGCGCACACACGCACACACACACACACATACACACACATGCGCGCGCACGAGAGGAGGGGAAGAGCGGGCGAGGGGGAACGGAGAGGAGGAGGAGCAGGAAACGAGGAGGTGGGGAGGGGATGACAGGGGAAGAGGAGTAGAAAAGGAGAGACAAGGTTGGGGTGCGGAGGAGGAGGAGGAGGAGGAAGAATGGAAGAAGAAGCGGGAGAGAAGGAGTAAGCGAAGGACGAGGAGGCGGATAAGAGGAGGACGGGGACGAGGGGGAGGGAGAGATGAGGAGAAATAACATGAGGGGACGACGGGGGTGCGGGGGAGGGGGAGGAGGGGGGGGGGGCGGAGGAGGAGGAGGAAGGGGTGAGGGGAGGTTTTTTTTGATTGTACTAGGCTCGTTGCAAGTAGCTTGAGCGCAGCGGCCAACAGGACTGGCACAGGCTGCACACGAGAAGCCCGAGAGCATGGGCGCTGAGCTGCTTCCGCTCTCGTCCCGAAAACTGTCGGGAGAGAGGTATTGGCGCTGCGGGGGGGAGGAGAGGAATCATATACGAGAGAGGAGGAGTTTACAGCGCCGTGCGAAGAGAGACATCAGCGGGGCCCTGCTTCGTTGCCCATAGCAGGGCGGCCCTCGAGGCAGAGAGCAGTGCAGGGCTAGAAAAGAAGTATCTGGCCTGGGAATGCCTACCCAAATTAAGTAGACCGTGAGGAGAGAGGAGGAGCTGGACGGAGGGCCAAAATGGCCGTGGGCGGTCGAACCGCCTTGTTGCTGCTGAGCAGCGCGTTGAGGGAGGGAGGAGGCTTGATAGAGAGAGGGAAGAAGAAGGGCCAGAATGGCACTGCCGTGCTGCAGGGCGGACGCTGCATCTGAAAGGCCTGCACGGGCCGGCCGCGGCGGGGAGGTGGGTGCGCCTGGGCGCTAGCCGAGACCAGACAGCAGAGACCCACCTCCGCGCGGCCCCTCACAGGCACACAAGGACCAAGGGGACCCTGCTACACCTGGACGAGGGCCAGAGAGACAAGCCGGGGCAAAGTGCCACGGTCCTCTCACGAGGCACTTGTGGCTAGGGCTGTCCAGGTAGTGAGCTGCCAAGGCGAACCAAGAGTATTAGGCCAGCTCACCACCTAGGAGACTCAGCCGTGGCGAGTCTGCGAATTGCTGTGTGAGCTTAGCCGATCGCTGTTTAGCGAGGCTGCTAAAAAGTGCCGCATTGGCCGCACTCGTGCGGCAAAGTGAGAAGTCGCGCCCATGAATGGCAACTACTCTTGCACAGGCCCTCCAAGGGGGGGCCGGTGGAAAAAAGAGTGACTAGGTGGGCTGCCGAGTTAAGTATTAGGCTGGCTCCGCCCCTGTGTGGCGCCTTGACGGTTGCACCACGGGCGCCCATCCCATGTTGACCTGAGATGGTGCCGACTGGCGCCGCAAGAGTTGCAGTGAGAGTGTGTACCTGAAGTACCCACTGCAGCGGACTGCATGTCGGCTCGGCCGACCTTAAATTGGAGACGCGGCGTCTCCTTGGTAGATTTTGACTCGTGTGATGGCTTGGGCTGTATAGGTGGTGGGCTGCAGGTAAACCAGGATCCGAGCAATGTGCTAGCCCACCACCTATGCGTGAGGACTCAGCCGTGGCGAGTCTGCGAATTGAGATGTGTGAGCGGCGTTTAGCCGCCTCACTGTTAGAGGGGCTGCTCAAGGTTGCTGAGCCGCACTATGACGGGATAGGCTGGATGCTGCTAGACTCACGTGGCCTACAACTCAGCTATGCAGGACGGCTCGACCGACCTAGAATTGGAGCAGCATGGCTCCAGCTGTTTAGGTGGTGGGCTGCCGAGGTAAGGAGAGAACGCAGGAAAGATGTATAAAGGGAAAGTATTAGGCGAGCCCACCACCTAAGTGGGCGCGCTGCTAGTTGCGCCGAGGTCGCTTAGGACGACCTAGAAGGGCGCTGACTGATGCAGCACTAATGTGGCTCGCTCAGGCACCGAAGGGCGACGGGTTGAGAGCGCGGGCGGCAGCCGAGAGCGCCGAGAGACCTGCCGCTGTCGCCGCCGCTCGCGCCTGGGCCTCTTGCGCGGCAGCCTGCTGCTGGTTGTAGTGGTCCCTGAGCATGGCCTCCACCTCAGCGATGGTCGCCAGGCCTGGGGTCTCGATCCACTCCCAGTCCCAGGTTTCGACGACCTGGCCGTCGATGACGTCCAGCGACTTGAGCTTCCAAACGAACGGGTAGAGCATGCCGTTGGGCATCTTCCACTCGCCAGGGTACGTGGAAGGCCACCACTTTTTGAACTCCCGCGTGGCGGCCGTGTATTGGGAGCCCTGCCATGCCGAACCAGCATACGTGTCTCCTGAGAGGCCGAAGAGCTCCCGCGTGTTGGGCGACGCCCTGCTGGCCTCGGCCGCGCCCGCCTCCGCCGCGGCCGCTGCGGAACCGCCCGCGGGAGGCATGGGCACCATGGCGGCGTGGGGCGCGCTGAGAGAAGGGGGAGTGCCAAGGGAACAAAAAAAACTAGCCCATAAGCCAACGGCCAAATATGAGTGAAACCTAGCTGGCCTATGCTTGCATCTGTGTGAGGAGGACCCTCCTGACGGGCCGACTGATGCATGCTTGGCCTGGTGCGGAGTCTATAGGGATGAGGATGTTACCGCTACGCATGTTGACCCGCAGCGAAAGGCCGGTGCGGTAGGGTATGCCCGTGCCAAATAGGATGGGCCGTGCATCCATTTCCTGAAGAATGGGGAGGTGAAAAAAGCGCGGCCTTTCCGCAGAGGATGGCAGCCTGGTCTCCTGCCCATGGAATTGCTCCATTAGGAGCCCTACATTGATGGGCAATGGGGACCAAAGCGGAATGTGGCCTGTCGTTATTACTACCATCCACTGCACTACTGTAGGCGGTGGTGGCACTGCCTCAGTGGGGGCGCAGCGGAAGTCGCCGTGCTCGAACTGCGGCAGGTGCTGCGCCTCTGGGGTCGGCATGGCCTGAGGGATTAGGGTTCGGGGAGACGGAGGATACGAGCGAGGTGGGACAACGGGAGGCAGAATGGCCGAACCATGATCATGGCCTGGAAGTCTATAAGGATGGGGCTGCCAGCCGCTGCATCCTGCAAAAGACGATGAGGGCTGAGGGAGGACTGCTCCCAGGCCCCCGATTGGAGTAGGTCCAGAAAAAGCTGGTCCGGCACGTAAACAGAAACTAGCCCTATGGTGGGTGAGAAACGGGCATCATAGAGGCCGTCCCCCGCAGCACATTGAGGGTAAATGTGGAGTATGTTAGGGGAGTTGGCCTCGCGCCAGCGCCCATGCCAGCGCTCGAGTGTGCGATTAACGGCCGTGGGCAAATCTAGGTGAAGCACAGGGCCCACGAAGGCGCGCGCGTGTGGCCATGCGGGCGGCCCGCTCTCGAGCTGCCATGTGGCTTGCCACTGGGGTACCGCATTATGCTGGTACGCCGTGGCGGGGGACAGAATGAGTGCGTGGCGCCTCGCGCCGCCGCTGAGAAAGCGGTAGACTTGCTGGTGAGCCAAAAGAAGCCGCTCAGCCAAATGTTTCCATAAGGAGGCCAAACGAGAGGCTGGTGGCGAGATGCCGCGCGGCTCTAATTGTTGCCCCGGGTACGCCTCAGCAGCGGGCATGTCCTCGTCTGCACCGGCGTGGTGAGGGGAGGAGGGAGGAGGGAGGGATGACAGGAAGAGGAAGAGGGGCAGGAGGAGGAGGAGGAGGTGAGTGGAGGATGGCGACGACGACGACGACGACGGCTGCGGCGGCGGCGGCGGCGACGGCGACGGCGACGGCGTCGGCGACGGCGATGGCGACGGCGGCGGCGGCGCACAAGCGCAGAGGGGCCGATCTCCTGCTCGAAGATCTTCGCGGTCAGCCGCTCGCGTTCCTCCTCAGGGGCGTCGTCGTCGTCCTCCTCCTCCTCCTCCTCCTCCTCCTCCTCCTCTTCTGCAAGTTATTACCATTCGTATTCATAGCATGACTACTGTTATTCGTATGCTTCCTAATCTAAGTATTCTTATTATTCGTAGCCATATTATCTTTATTCGCAGTACTCGTATCGTATTTGTTCTTACTCGTATAATTCGTATTATAACTAGTTGTTCGCGTTCACAGTAGCATGATGTGCGCGAGTAGTATTAGTGATATGAGCATTCGTAATGTTAATATACTTCGTCTGATTACTAGTATGGTTGTTCTTCGTCTCCCTATCAATACTAATATTACTAATAGTCGGAGTGGTCATATTATTAGTATTCGTATTACCATTCGGGGTATTACTACCATGTCCATTGTATTATTTGTCCTTTTACGAGTAGTCGTGATAGTACGAGTATTATTATCATTCCTCCTCCTCCTTCTCCTGCTCCTCCTGCTCCTCCTCCTCCTCCACCTCCTCATCCTCCTCATCCGTCCTTGTTTCGCTTGCCGCTTTCCGTACGCGCTTGGCTTCTTTATCCTGGTCCTCGCCCTGCTCGGTTCCCTGCCTCTCCTCCACCATTCCAATCCGCTCCCCCTCCACCTCTGCCGGCTTCGTTCCCCTGAGGCGGACGACGACGGCTCTGACCTGGACCTCCCTCTTCTCCAGCCCGCGCTCCGCAGAATCAGGGCTAGCGGCGATGTCACCATAACTGTTTTGCTCACGAGCTACTGCTGTAGGTCCTCCGCCACCCTTCGGCGCCGTGTGTGTGTGCATGTCGGCCCCCGCAGCATCGGATCCTGTCGTGCCGTGGAGCTCGAATGCCACGTTTCTGTGCTGCCGCGATGCCGCCGTACGTGATGCCTCGCCGCTCGCATGGCTTTGCGCTCCACGCTCTCTTTTCCAATAGTCTTGCCTGCTCTGTTTCCTTGTTCGGCGCGCCCAGACGTGTAGGTAGCGTCTTTTCGTCCTCATCCTCCTCCAGGGTACCCTCCCCGGGTCCAAGGTACCCTCCCCGAACCGACCCCGACCTTAGACCTCGGTCCGGCTGCACCGCGCGCGAGCGGGGGATAGGCAGCTCTCGCCCAAGCGCCGCGCAGATTCTCTCCTCGCGCGGCGCACACGTTTCGCTCGCCGAGTCGACAGGGAGGGGGGCGGAGCCGCGCGCGAGCGGGCGCAGGGCCGCCCTCGCCCGGAGGCGCGGTGCAGCGCGGCCCGTGCTCGTCCCGCTCGCGCGGCGCAGCGTCGGAACAGCCGCAAAAGCGGCGCGCGAGCGGGCGGCACGCCGCGGTCGCCCCGGCGGCGCGCAGATGCCGCCTGAAAGTGAGCCTCCTCCTCCTCCTCCTCCTCCTCCTCCTCCCCCTCCTCCTCCTCCTCCTCCTCCTCCTCCTCCTCCTCCTCCTCCTCCTCCTCCTCCTCCTCCTCCTCCTCCAAGCGGTTCAGGTTGCACAGAGGAGGGGAAAGGTGCCCATAATTGTCTCTACCCCCCGCCCGCTTTTCCCGTTTGGGGCCTCCTGGGAGGCTGTCGTCGCCACCGCCGGATTTGCCTCGAAATCCTGGTCAGAACGCACCCCAGGAGAGGTCCGGAGAGCAGCGGCATCGGTACCTTTTGCTTTCCCAAACTTTAATTTTCGGAAAAGGAGGCCCAGCGCGGATCCAAGACATCTGTTGCACGGACCTTCGTGCTCTGTTCCTCGACGAAGGGGAGGGAGAAGGAGGGGGAGGCGGACGAGGAAGCGTGCGGTGATGGGGTGGACGAGGAGGACGGGGAGAGAGGGGCAGGAAAGAGGACGAGGACGCAAAGAGGAAGAGGAGCAGGACGGGGCAGAGTGTAGCTCCGAGAGTGTACGTTGATGTTCTCTGTTCTCCTCCGATCGCCGCGGCGCGAACCTGCCGGCTACTTCCCACATCCCCGAGGCTCAGCCCCGCCACTCCCCCATTGACCCCGACGTCGTGACTCTGTTTCGCAGCGCGACCCCCAGGCGTTCCGATCACCTCCCCGGGTAGGTGGCGACATCCGAACCCTACCCACACCGGCCATCGAGCCATTGATTCTCCCGAAACGATGGGAGGCGGGGGTGGGAGTCGGATCGCGCCACGCGCTCGACGACTTCCGAGCCCCTGCACCCGCCGCCCATCGAGCTGCCCGAATCGCCGATCGGCGAGGGTGCAGGGCACGGCCTTCGCCGCCGGCCCGACCCCTTCCCCGGTCGCCATGCTGTCCATCGTGAGTCGCTCCTTGACGGTCCCGGGGACCGGCGCGAAAGCCCCCCAGAGGCCAATATAGTATATATCTATATACCTATACGACCACCCTTCGATCTTACTATCGGTCTCGCTTGATCGATCTCACTCGATCGATCTCACAATCGATCTCACCCGATCTATTTCATTCGATCGATCTCACAATCGATCTGACTATCGATCTCACTATCGATATCACAATCGATCCCACTATCTATCTCGCAATCGATCTCACATTCGGTCTTACTGTCGACCTCACTATCGATATCACAATCGATCGCACAGTCAACGTCATCACCATCATCATCATCATCATCATCATCATCATCATCATCATCATCATCATCATCAACAACATAATCGTCATCAACGTCATCAACATCACCATCATCATCAACATCATCATCACAATCGGGACACCATCATCATCACCTCATCACCATCATCATCCACATCGTCAGCATCACCATCATCATCATCATCATCATCATCATCATCATCATCATTATCATCGGGACACCATCATCATCGTCCCCATCATCAGCATCATCATCATCATCATCAGCATCATCATCATCCTTCTCCTCATCACCATCATCATCATCGGGACACCATCATCATCAACATCAACATCATCAGCATCACCACCATCGGGCCACCATCATCATCATCATCATCACCTCATCAACAGCCTCATCGGTACACCATCAATGTCATCATCATCAACATCATCATCATCAACATCATCATCATCATCATCATCAACATCACCAACATCATCGGTACACCATCATCGTCATCATCATCAACATCATCATTTGGACACCCTCATCATCACCATCATCATCAACAGCATCATCAACCTCAGCATCATCATCAACATCATCATCATCATCGGGACACCATCATCATCATCAACATCATCAACATCATAATCATCATCATCATCATCAGCATCATCTCAGCATCATCTCAGCATCATCAACATCATCATCATCATCATCATCCACATCGTCAGCATCACCATCATCATCATCATCATCATCATCATCATCATCATCATCATCATCATCATCGGGACACCATCATCATCGTCCCCATCATCAGCAGCAGCAGCAGCAGCATCATCATCATCATCATCATCATCATCAGCATCATCATCCTTCTCCTCATCACCATCATCATCATCGGGACACCATCATCATCAACATCAACATGATCAGCATCACCACCATCATCATCATCATCATCATCATCAGGACACCGACGGGACACCGGCGGGACAGCGGCGGGACACCACGCGGCACCAGACGCTGGAAGGGAGTCATTTGGTCCGGCCGCGCCTCAGCCAATGGCGACACCGGCGGGACACCGCGCGGCACTGGTTGCCAGAAAGGAGTCATTTGGTCCGGCCGCGCCTCAGCTGGAGGAGACTTTCTTCTCGCCCGCCCACGCAGCTTCGCCTCGCCCGCACGCACGGCACGCACGAACACGAAACCGAAATCGATCTCCCGGTAGGGGGGCTCTCCGTTCCACTTCGATCTCACCCCCTCACCTCCGATTACGAGACAAGGGGGGGGGAAAAACTCCGCCCTGATGTTTCAACACGTCGGATGTTTGGGCTGGAGTATAGAAAAGAGGAGCAATAAGATAAACACTCGGAGAGGCGCGGGGAGTTCTTGGACCTGCGCTGGGCCTCCCCCCCGGGCGAGCAGGGCGCGCCATCGGCGGCGCTGGAGGCGCCGCCAGGGGGAGCCTGACGCCGATCCAGGAGATCCTCGCGGAGCTCCGAATGTTCATGTTCTTGCCGCTGGATTTAGATCAGGCATGTCCCACTGCAGGCGGATTCGGTAGGAAACTCAAAGATAGCCAAAAATGCCCCCAGATAGTTAAAACAATCGAAAAATCGTTCCCATATTACTTGTTGACTGTTTTGAAACATTCCTCCTGTAGAGGGGACGCCCGACTTAACGCTAGTTTTCGTCGGCATGCGTGGGATGCCTGCGCCTCCCGCTCTCCCCGCTCCTCCGCGCCCTTGAGCGCGGAGTGGAGGTCGAACTGCATCAGCCGCAGCGCCTGGCAGGCGGCGGCGCGCGGCGGGTGGCGGGGCCACTCGACGCAGGGCGCACCCTCTGCCCCTCGCAGGGAGGTTATGACGGGACCCAGGGGCACACAAAGAAATAGACACATCATCGTACATCATCATACAACATCGTACTATCGTACAACATCACCACCGGGACCCAGGTTGTACTATTGTACAACAGCATACATCATCGTACATCATCATACAGCAGCAGACATCATCATCATACATCATCATACATCATCATACATCATACATGAAACACCCACACCCACACCCACACCCACACCCACAATCTCATTTTTTGTTGTTAAAGCCGTTGGAAACGCGAAACCTCCATCACCACCCTTAAGTCGTTTCACGGACGAACTGCCTGGCCACCATCCCCCGGTCAGCCCTACTACTACTCCTACTACTACTACTACTACTACTACTACTACTACTACTACTTCTACTACTACTTCTTCTACTACTACTACTACTACTACTACTACTACTACTACTACCACTACGACTACTACTACTACTACTACTACTACTACTGCTGCTGCTGCTGCTACTACTACTACTACTACTACTACTACTGCTATTGATACTGCTACTGCTGCTACTGCTACTGCTACTGCTACTGCTACTACTACTACTACTACTACTACTACTACACTACTACTACTACTACTACTACTACTACTACTACACTACTACTACTACTACTACTACTACTACTACGACTAGTCCTACCACGACTACTACTACTACCACTACTACTACTACTACTACCACTACTACTACCACTATACTACTACTACTACTACTACTACTACGACTACTACTACGACTACTACTACTACACTACTACTACTACTACGACTACGACTACGACTACGACTACGACTACGACTACTACTACTACTACTACTACTACTACTACGACTACGACTACGACTACTACTAATACTACTACTACTACTACTACTACTACTACTACGACTAATACTACTACTACTACTACTACTACTACTACTACTACTACTACTACTACTACTACGACTACTACTACTACTACTACTACTACTACTACTACTACGACTAGTACTACGACTACTACAACGACAACGACAACGACAACGACAACAACAACAAAACAACAACAACAGCAAAACACAACAATCAGTGTAACACTGTTCGCTCTTATCTGCTCGAGTGTCCATCCCATCAACACGTATTTCCCAAACCCTCGATACCCGCCGTCTTCGTCTTCTTTCTGCCTGCAGGCCGGGCCCCGGCAAGCGGCGGGGCGGCCGCGGACCGTCGGCCTGGCCAGCGGCAGCGCTGATCGGTGGCAACCCGACCCCAAGAGGGACGGACAGGGAACCGACCAAGACGACGACGACGACGACGTCGACGACGACGACGACCGAAAGCGAGAGCGAGAGAGAGAACGATAGCAGAGCCACGAAGGGCACGAAGTAGGCCACGAAGGGCGACAGCGGGGACACGAAGGGAATGCGTATAGGGCCACGAAGAGCGCGAACGAGCGGGGGCCACGAAGGGCAGATAATGCGGGGCCACAGAAGGCAACGACGGGGCCACTGAGGGTAACAACTGGGCCACGTAGGACAGCGAGGGGGCCACAAAGGGCGACAGCGGGGCCACGAAGAGCATGCACATGGGGCCACGACGGGCGCGAACGAGCGGGACCACGAAGGGCATAAGTATATTGGGCCGCGGAGGGCAAGGACGGGGCCACTGAGGGCAGCAACGGGGCCACGAAGGGCAGCGAGGGGGCCACGAAGGGCGGCAGCGGGGACACGAAGGGAATGCGTATGGGACCACAAAGAGCGCGAACGAGCGGGGGCCACGAAGGGCATACATATATGGGGCTACGAAGGGCAGCGAGGGGGCCACCAAGGGCTGCAACGGGGCCACGAAGGGTTACAACGGGGCCACAAAGGGCAGCGAGGGGGCCACAAAGGGCTGCAACGGGGCCACGAAGGGCAGCGAGGCGGCCACGAAGGGGTGCAACGGGGCCACGAAGGGCAGCGAGGAGGCCACGAAGGGCTGCAACGGGGCCAGGAAACAAAGCGAGGGGGCCACAAAGGCCTGCAACGGGGCCACGAAGGGCAGCGAGGGGGCCACGAAGGGCTGCAACAAGGCCACGAAGGGCAGCGAGGGGGCCGCGAAGGGCTGCAACGGGGCCACGAAGGTCAGCGAGGGGGCCACGAAAGGCTGCAACGGGGCCGCGAAGGGCAGCGAGGGGGCCGCGAAGGGCTGCAACAAGTCCACGAAGGGCAGCGAGGGGGCCACGAAAGGCTGCAACGGGGCCGCGAAGGGCAGCGAGATCCCGATTCCTCAAGTCATCTGTGAGGGAGTCCTAAGCGTGAGCGCGACTCCTGGGTGCCTGGGTGTCGGGAGCGCGGCGCTTGAGTAAATTGCGGGAAATTCCAACGCAAAGGCGCTATTCTCAAGCAAATTGCAAGCAAGTCTCCAACGAGAGCGCGACTCCAGAGCGCCGAGAGAGCGATTCCTGAATAAATTGTAAGGAAGTCCCTAGCGAGAGCGCGATTCCTGCATAAAATGCGGTGAAGTCTCAGGCGGGAGCGGGGGTCCTGGCAAAAGTGTGAGGAAGTCTTAGGCGGGAGCCGTTGCTGCTGTTGTAACCCGGGGGCCAACAACGCAGTTGGAGGATGAAGACTTTCCCTGATACTGATGAAAACAGGGTGCGAGCGCCGCGAGGGGCACTTCAATTGAAAAATAGAATGTGCACCGCAGGGGAGGGGATCAACAATACTTATTCTACAATAGTGTGACTGCAACAAAAACAAGAACTACAACAACCACAACAACAACAACAATAACAACAGCAACAAGAGCAGCAGCAACAACAACAACCACAACAACAACAACAACAACAACAACAACAAGAGCATGAACCACAACATCAACAACAACAATAACAATAACAACAAAAGCAACAACCACTACAGCAACAACATCAGCAACCATCACACTAACAACAGCAACAACAACAACAACCACAACCACAACCACAACCACTACCACCACAACGACAATAACAAGAATAACAATAATAACAACTATACCACAAACAACAAACAACAAACAACAAACAACAAACAACAAACAACAAACAACACACAACACACAACAACAACAACAACAACAACAACAACCAACAACAACAACAACAACAACAACAACAGCAGCAGCAGCAACAACAACAACAACAACAACAACAACAACAACAACAACAACAACAACAACAACGACGATAGACGACAACAGCAGCAACAGCATACCATAAACATGAACAACAGCAGCAACAGCAACAGCAGCAACAGTAACAACAGCAACAACAACAGCAACAAAATCAATAATCCGTCGCGGAATCACACTTCAGCCAAGCACCCAGGGACAGTGAATGACCGCTCGGCCCCCTCTCTCTGACAAGTAAAGACAACGCTTCCATCGCGACGCGAGGGGGCCAGAGGACGGCCCCTGGAGGCCAGAGGCACCGAGGAAAGTCGGCCGCCGCCCGAACATGAAGACCCCTCCAGGAGAGTCAGAAATGGACCTATCCAGACCTCGGGAGCAGACGAAGGACGCACGCGCCCACCCACGTGCAGGAACAGGGTCACCCAATCCGCGAGACCGGCCGCGTGATACAAACGTTCGCGCGACGCGTGCTCTCTAAAGCAACGTGGATTCTCGTGTACCCATCGGTCGGAAGAAGTAGGTAGAAACATAAAGCAGGCAGGCGATGAAAGAAGACTCTGTGTCCGCCCGCCCCCCAAAGAGGACGGAAAAGGTGAAGCCACTCGATCATTGAAGTAGGAAGGCGCTCAAAGCATACTGGAATCTGGGAATCCCAGATCCCAGAATACCTACTTTCAACGACCGATGGGTACGTGTGCGTTCTCCTGTCGTTCCTGAAGACCCGTCCGGGAGGGCGCTCTGGCTGGAAGCTCGAGGGGGGACCCAGCCGTGGCGGCGCGGAGCCCCCCCCGCAGGCCGCCCGAGGGCGGAGGCACGCTCGAAGCGACCCGCCCCGAGAGCCGACCTCACGACGAGCACGCAGCGTCGGCAGAGGCTACGACCAGAGCCCTGCACCCCGATCTCGTCAACGTCTTCTTTCGGGGATGGACAGACCTCCCTTTAGTAAAACGTGGTTTAGTAAAAACGACTCTGGGCCCAAACCTGGCGGGCGCAAGCCTGGAAAATAACGGCCACGGCGCCCTCACGAAAACCGAAAACGGACAATTCACGAATCGACGTGTCACTGTTGGGGGTTCTGTCCACCCCCGATTCTTACTCGGCGCCCCGACCTTGGGCGGACGGGAGGGGCGGGGGAGGGCGCGGTCTGGCTCCAGAATCCCTGCTCCGAGCGACTGCCTGCACCAGGGCGTCCTGCGGGGGAGCCTCCACCTGCTCGAAGCAGGCGCCAAAAAAGGGCCAAGGCCTTCTCCGTGGGGGTGAGGGGTTGTGCGAGGGCCCGCGCCGATCGGCAAGACCATGGATCTGTGGAAAAAACACACACTGTGGAAAAAATCAGTCTGTGGAACAAAACACACACACAGTGGAAAAACACACCATGTTTTTCCACACACACACACACTGTGATGTTTCCACAGAATCCAAGAGAGCGATCATCAGCCAACGATCATCAGCCGTGGCGGCGCAGAGCCCCCGCAGGCCGCCCGAGGGCGAAGAGCGCTCGAAACTACCTACCCTGAGATCCGGCCTTACGAAAAGCATGCAGCGTCGTCGTCGTCGCCATCGTCGTCGCCGTCGCCGTCGACGTCGTCGTCGTAGACCGCAATCGCTTTCTGCTGCCTGTTTCGAGCCGGATCGATCCGCGAGTCCCCAGAAAGCCCAGAAGAGAGGGCGAAGTAAGATCGCCGGGATGGCGAGGGGACGGCGACGCCAGTGCATCGAAGGGAACCCTGACCCTCGGTCGCGAAGACGTGGACATGGGCACCAGCACCAACACGGGGGGTGCCTCCACCAGGGGGAAATGATTTCCCAGGTGTGGGCAGTAGCATGCTGGCCACCCAGGCGGCGCGACTGCTTCTGGCGCTGGTAATCACATCTCGGCCACCCAGGCAGCCCAAACATATGACCACCATGTGAGCGTTTTCATATTCAGCCTTTCGACATTGGGCGGACGGGGGGGGGTCTGGCTCCGGACCTCTGCTGAATGAGACTGTTTGCAACAGTGCGTCCTATGGGGGAGGGAGGTACTCTGCCTGCCTGAAACAGGCGCCAAAAGCAGCCATGATCTACTCCAATGGGGGGGAGGGGGCGGGGTGCGAGGGCCCGCGCCGATCGGCAAATCAGTGAATAAGAAAAAGATCACCATCACTGAGTTCGGGATCATCCTTCAGTGCAGGCACACTGCCGATCTTGGTGTCGGTGTCAACCTCTGGGCCTCCGACGGACCCAAGCCCCTCGTCCTCCGCCGCTCACCTCACCATCGCTCGGACGTCCACTCCCCGTGCATGTTTCGAATTCGCGCGTGTATGTTTCGCACGATGGCCCAATTGCTCCTCGATGCTCCTCGCCGAAAACAAATTGAGGAGATCAGAAGGTACCGATACCGTTACTCCCCAGACCTCTCTCGGGGTGCGTTCTGACCTGGATTTCGAGGCGAATCCAGCGGTGGCGACGAGGAGACCCCAAAAAAGGAAAACAAGGGAAACGTAGCGGTATGGGTACCTCTTCCTCCTCTGAGTTTCGCACGATGGCCCAAGATGCTCCTCGATGCTCCTCAAGGAGAAAATAATGCACAGTTCCCAAGGATGCCAAGTCTTAGGTCGGGTTTGTCCTCTTACAGAGGGATTTTACATGACAAATCAAAACGTCGTCAACAAAAATACAAAATATCCAAAAATACTCAAGCAAAAACGTCCCGAGACTCTCTTCCGACTAGTTCTGAATACTCCTCATGTAGAGGGGCATGCCCGACGTAAGCCAAGTCACCCCTGCACGGGGTCCGAGACATGCGCCCCCCTCGCGGCGCGCCCGCGCCCCGCGGCGCCTGCTCCCGCTCGCGCGCGCCCTCCCGCGACACCGCGAAGGCCCTCGCGGGAGCGCCCACAACACTTGGAGCAGGGGCCGACCGTCCTGGCATCCCCATAGGCCTACAGTAGCAGAGGCCTCCTAGCTTGGCTCCCAGGTGGGGTCGAAGGATCGAGTCGCGTGGCCAATGTACCGCCGACGCGCCGACGATGCATCGGCGAGTTCGGCGGTGCATCGCCGACACCGGCGCGGAGAATGTCGGGATCCACACCGAAGCGCATCGCCGATGCATCGGGGACGCGGCGCGATCCTCCAACCCCATCTACTCCGACCCAATCTAGGAGGCCTACTGTCCCCGCATCCCCATAGGTCCTCCATTGAGAAACCAAGATCCATAGCGGAATCCGATGCCGAATCGAGAACGAATCGAGCCGAGTCGGCGCAGTCGAAGTGAGCGTGGCTGAAGGAGAGCCCCTGGGGAGGCAGGAGGGCTGCCGAGCTGGACGCCCGAAGTGGGTACAGCAGGGGCCCGATCACAAAACAATAACTCCGACGGAGGGACCCCACATGAGAATCCTCTGGGCGAATCTGGAAAAAGCCCTCACCGTCGTCCTCGTGGTTGGTGAGGCGTCCTGGCTGTCCCTTCTGCGTATATTTCTTCTCGCCCTGGCGCGGGCCCTCCCCCCGCTCCCTACGTTGCCGCCGACCTCGCCGTCCTGTTTTGGCTCCGGACATTCAGAAAGTGGCTCAGGAGTGGTGTTCTGGGAACACGTAGAACACAAAGTTACCTACAGTTGGCTCTGGGCATTCAAAATACGGCCCGGGAGTGGTGTTCTGGGAGCACGAAGAGCACGAAGTGGCCTACATTTGCTTCCGGGCATTCAAAATGTGGCCTGGGAGTGGCGTTCTGGCAGCGCGAGAGCCCAAAAGCAGCAAAAGTTATAGGAATTGGATGACCCGCTCGGATTGGTAACATTTCCCGCGGGCCCCATAGGGAGGGGGCTCCCGCTTTAGACTTCCTCACAATTCACTCACAAATGTGGCCTGGGAGTGGCGTTCTGGCAGCGCGAAAGCTCAGAAGTGGCGACAGTTACAAGAATTGGATGACCCGCTCGATTAGTAACATGATCCGCGGGCCCCATAGGGAGGGGGCTCCCGCTTGAGACTTCCTCACAATTCACTCACAAATGTGGCGTGGGAATGGCGTTCTGGCAGCGCGAAAACCCAAAAGTGGCGACAGATACAAGAATTGGATGACCCGCTCGATTAGTAACATGATCCGCGGGCCCCATAGGGAGGGGGCTCCCGCTTGAGACTTCCTCGCAATTCACTCACTGACGAGGCCCAAGGCGAGTGAGTGAGTGAGAGAGTGAGTGAGCGAGCGAGTGAGTGAGTGAGTGTGTGCGGGATGATGAGTGAGTGAGTGAGTGAGTGAGGAATGAGTGATGATAATGATGGTGGGGTCCTGTTCCTGCGCGGGGGGGGTGTCCAGAGAAAACAAAAACCCCATTTTGGATGTGGGGATCAAAACTTCCACAAGGAACCCAACCCTGAGACCTCCGGGCGTCCATTGCGTTCTGGTGTGGGGGGGAACGTCACGCTTTCCACAGCAAGACCATCGAAACCCGAGAAGCCTTGGGCACCCTAGAGGCAAGCAGGATGTTTCTTGGCATGGGCCTCCACTGTAGGCCTACCACGAGATGTTTTTAGAACCACTGTATGCTCTAACAACTAAAGCGACGTCCTTAGAACCTGAGCCCCGAGCTACTAAGACAAGACAGCGCCCGCCAGAAATAATCGAGGAACATGTCGTGCCAACTACAGAAGGTTCTTAGAACATTCGTGGCTGGGTCTATAGGCAAGCCAGGGCGCTTCGCCACTACTTGAACACTGGGCACTCGCACGCGCCGATCTCGGCCGGGCCCACCACCGTGGATGCGGGGACAGCAAGCGATCGCAACCACATCGAGGACGCATCTTGGGGCTCGTCTTGTGTAGGCCAAAAATCGTCTGGACACCTAAAAACCACAAAGGGTGCGCCGCTGGATGACCCCAAGGGGGGGGTGGGACCCCCCCCACTTTCCCCGATCCGTTTTCGGGGACCCCCCCCCTCTCCCCCCCGTTCCCGGTCCGTCGTCGGGGCCCCCCCCCCTCCCCCCCTTTCCCCGTCCGTCGTCGGGGACCCCCCCCCCTCCACCCTTTTCAAAAGGGGAGGGAGGGGGTTCCGACCCCCCCCCCCTCTCCCCCTCTTTGGCCGCCAAATTCAAGCCCCCCCCTTTTTCGTCACGGCGACCCCGGTGTCCGGAACCCGACCCCGACCACCCCGAACACTAATCCTCACCCTTACCCCAACCCCCAACCCTAACCCCAAACCCAAACCGTAGCCCAAAACACCACTCATTACTCATTACGCACTACTCACTACCCACAATTCACTACTCGCTACTCGCTACTCACTTCTCACTACTCACTACTCACTATCCACGACTCACTATTCACTGCCCACCACTCACTACCCACTACCCACTAGTCTCTTCTCCCTACTCCCTACTCACTGCTCTCTACTCACTGCAAACTACTCTCTACTCGCTACAAACTACTCAATACTCACTACTCACTAAGCACAACTTACAACCCAGTAATCACTAAACACAAACCACTACTCACTACCCAGTAACCACTATCCACTACTCACTACTCACACTTCTCTACTCACTACTCACTGCCAACAACTTCATACTCACTATCCTCTACTCGCTGCTCGCTACTCGCTGCTCCCTACACAACACTCACTACTCACTACTCGCTAGACCCAACGCCCTACTCGCTACCCGATACGCACTATTCACTGCCCACTACTTACTAATCACTACGCCCCCACTACTCACTACTCACTACTTCCTGCTCCCTACTCACCACTCCCAACGCACTATTCACTACTCACTACCCAGTTCCCAGTACTCACTACTCACTAAACACTACTCACAGCGCACTACTCCCTACTCACTAAGCACTACAGTATTCACTACCCACTAACCACTAGCCACTAGTTACTACGGAGTACTCACAGTTCACAACTCACTACGAACTGCCCACAAGTCCCTACTCACTATCCGCTAGTCCCTACCAAATACGAAATATTCATCACCCACCACGCCCTATTCGCCACTCCCTACTCCCTACTCCCTTCTCACCACTCAGTACTCGCAAGTCGCTACTCACTACTCACTAGTCCCGACTTACTACTCAATACTCACTCCTAGCAGTTCGCTACTGTCTACTCACTACCCACTACTCAATACCCACTTCTCGCTTCTCACTACTCACTACCCACTGGTCGCGACTCCCTACTCACTACTTACTCACTACTCACTACTCACTACTCGCTACCCGCTACTCGCTACGCACTACTCCCTCTACCCACTACTGACTCTTGACTACTCCCTCCCCACTACTTACTACTCACAAGGCCCTACTCGCTACTCGCATCTCACTACTCGCTACTCCCTAGTCGGTACTCCCTACTCGCTACTCGCTACTCACTAATCACCACTCACTACTCACTACTCACTACTGTCTACTCACTGCGCACTACTCACGATTCACTACTCACTACTCACTCCTCGCTATTCGCTACTCTCTACTCCCTCATCCCTACTCCCTGCTTGCTCACTATGCACTATTCTCTACACAATACTCACTCCCCACTACTCACTACTCATAATTCCTTACTCTCTAGTTCCTCCCCACTACTCACTTCCCGCCACTCACTACTCACTACTCACAAATATCTACGCACTTCTCACTACTACCATTATTCATTACCCACTACTCACTACTCACTACTCACGACTCATTGCGCACTACTCATTATCAAATACCCACTACTCACCAATCGCTACTCAAAACACTCGAATCTCTACTCACTACCGAGAGGCCCCCGTCCCAGCCCCCTGTTCGGCACAAAGGGGGGGAGGGGTTGGTCGAACCCCCCCCCCCCTGTCAAGCGCCAACGGGGGGAGGGGGGGGGGTCCGGAACTCCCCCCCCTTCAAGGGGGGAAGGGGGGAGGTTCGGAGCCCCCCCCTTATGGTGGGGAGGGGGGAGGGGTCGAAAATCTCACCCCCCGTTGAAGGGGGGGAGGGGGGGGTTCTGCGAGCACCCCCCCCCTTTTGTGTATTCAGGGCCATCCACTGGCGCGCTTCAAAACACCTTGATACTTGTTGTGGTCGATGTGGCGTCCCAGGACGGCTAAACCGACAACAACCAACACCAATGGGCCCGGGTCGAGATCGGCGGGTTCTCACCCGGAGAGCCCTCCCGAACAAAACGCTTCGCCGTGATTGTGACTCTTCGTAGTGTCTGGACCCGTGAAACCTCCCAGATCGGTGCGCCAGAGCTCTTCAACCTGAGATCCGAGCATTGCTGGGCATGTTTTCCACCGCCACCATAATAAGTTGGAGGGGGCAAGGAGGTGGAGGAGGAGCTTGCTTGCTCACGGCTGTGGGACGATGAATCGAATGACTACGACGCTCTCGTTGAATTGCCCATAACTTCACAGTCGCAGCTTGCAAGCAGGCGAGGGACCGAGCAGGCCGAGGGGACCGAGCGAAAGGGGCCGAACAGGGAAGAGGCCGAGCGACGGGCCGAGGGCCGCGGCCGACGAAGGGCGACAGAGGGAGGCGAGGAGGAGCGGGGTCCAACTGCTCTTGCGTCCGCCGTCCGCACCCGAGTGCAGATCCTTCACCAGGTGCACGAGGCCGCACAGCCATGGCTCAGTGGCCACGGCGCGGTGCTCGAAGGAGAGGAGGACCCCCTCCCCTCCTGCTTATGGTGGTGGTGATGATGGTGATGATGATGCTGATGCTGATGCTGATGCTGATGATGCTGATGATGATGATGGTGGTGCTGATGGTGCTGATGGTGGTGATGATGGTGATGGTGATGGTGATGGTGATGGTGCTGATGCCGATGCTGATGATGATGATGATGATGATGATGATGATGGTGATGGTGATGGTGATGGTGATGGTGATGGTGATGGTGATGGTGACGGTGATGGTG